AAGTGTGGATAAAAAGACTTCAGGATAAAAAGACTTCAGGTCTATTCATAATATTGCATAACCATTTTTTTTATTGAATACTTTCAGAATTAGTTCAATATTTAGCTGTTTAATTTTCTTAAACTTTTATATTTCAGGTACTTGATGAATGTAACATTTGAGGGTCGGAACCTTTCATTTAGTGAAGATGGATACCAGATGCATCCTAAACTGGTCGTTATTTTACTCAACCAGGAAAGGAAGTGGGAAAAGGTAGGTCCTGTATTTTAGTTTAAAACTTTTCTTCTGTTTTATGCCAAGCAAATGTTCATGAAAGTCCATCCTGTGGTAGACTTTATTATATTTTGGGTGTATGGGAGAGGCTGTTCTAGTTAATGCAGATGGCAACTAGTTAAAATAATAGCACTATATTTCATTATCCCTCTAACAGTTGCATTATCTATTATATAAACATTATTTATTATAGGTAAAGTACAAATAATGGCTCCTAACACTCCAAATCAAGTTACTATTAGATACACAAGCCTCATAAAGTGAGCAAAATCTTTCTTTACCTTCCCTAACTAAGACTCACCTTACTACATTCAGGGGTGTGGAAATTTTGGAAAAAACTACTTGTCCAAGGACTAAAGCGGGGGCCGAATCTACTTGTCCCTCTTGACAAACTACTTGTCCTGATACGAAAAAATAATGTTAACCAAAACCGTATTTAGCAGTGCTTGGAAGCGCTTCTCATTGGTCAATGCCGTCAGGTGGCCGCGTTGACCAACGAGTGCTTGCAATTTGCGAGCGAAATTCAGAATACAAGGAACAGGTACAGATAGTACACCCGTACTGGTGGACGTGAAGGACCGTTCGCCAAAAGGTAAGTGTAGCTGGAGGGAGATTTGTGCGGGTAATTCCATTTTCCCAAATAACTTGGTAAAGTGAATTTACCCTCCAGGGTTGGTGCAGACTTGGGGATTCCCGGGACGTGTGATCGTGTGCGGTGGCATACAGCGGTTGCATCTGCTTGTATGGGGTTACATCTGTGTGGCAATCGCTGAAAAAAAGGTACATGTACCTATTTTCACGACATGCACCACGCAGTGTTTTCAACCGTGATCCCAGGATCGCCCGGGCGTTATTGCAGCAGGAAAACGCGCAATGTGCCTGGCACGACTGGGGTGCCATTAGAAAATAATGGCACTGCCAGCGAAACCGGCGGTGATGTGTGATTCCGTGACCACCCAGCCATCCGCTCGGTTTCGTGCACGATGACCGGGCACTCACAAATCGCACACCACCGATCGCGCTGGCAGTACCATCATTTTCTAATGACACCCCAGTCGTGCCAGGCACATTGCGGTGTTTTCCGAGTGGTAGCACATGATCGCAGTTAAAAACACTGCGCGTTTATTCACATGCAGATGGGGGCAGCGGGGCTGGTTTTCATTTTTTCAATTTTTATTTACTTTGTAAATTTCACTTTTTTCCTAGTGTCCTAGGAGGATGGAGGTTTTTTTTCTCATCTACATGCTGCTGAGCTGGGATTTGTGTTTCCTCCACAATAGCTTTGGAGGCCTTACCCAGACCCCAATTGACTGCAAATTGCAGGCATGCTTAGAATGGGACTTTCAGGTATTGGGCCTTGCTTTCTAGACCATTGTGTACTATGTTAGTTTGCTGCAGAGTGCTTTCAGGTTCAGAGCCAAGACACAGCCTGTGTTGTGTCCCAGTCTCTGAATACTTTTTAATCCGTACGCCACGTGGGCTGAGCAGTGGGAGCTACTATGTTTTTGAACCACTGAGCACAATCATTACCCCCCTATTCTGTTTGCATTTCATCACTAGCTGCAAGGTCATGCCTGCACACTCCATGCTTTTTAAGCTTAAGGTAACATCTTCTCGCCATTGCTCATATTTGCAAGAGACACCCTGTTTCACTTTGGTTAGTCTTTGCTGCTGCCTAAATTGCCATGGTCACCATTGACTATGTAAACCTCCAGCTTTTACAGTATTGACCTAGTGTTCTGTTAAGCAGTGCAAAAAGTTGCACCTAAGTGCAATGCAAGGAGTCACAAAGTGGTTAATTGACAAGAAAGTAAATAGGATGTTTGTGCTTACTGTAAAAACGGTTTCTTAAGTTTCATTAAGGGACACAGGTCCCACCTCTTTGTGTTTGTGACCTACTCCAGATATTGCTGTTCTACAAAACTGAAGCATGCTGGGATTTTGGGAGGATATACCTGGCTGGCCACTGTTTTTTTTGTTGCCAGTGTCCAAATCCCCTGCAAGTGGCACACCATCACATTCCATGTTTCCCACCCATAGACAATTGCTGCCTTGATATGCAAGCACAAAGCCACCATTTTGAAACCTGATGCATACAATTTAGCTTTGCAGTCTTTCCCTACTGCAGATTCATATCAGTCAAAACAAACGGATGCTTCAATCAAAGGGCTCGCACTAGCAGGGTTGGTTGCCAAGAATCCTGATAGATAGCAATATAAAGTACTGTAGCTTGTACTGTGCTGCTTTCTTGAGAAGCTGATACAGGTTTCCTCTGGGATAAACTTGGCATTCCATATGTACAGATAAGACAGCATTCTTTGAGCCCTGTTGAGTTTTTCCAGTTTGAAAGGAAGCTGTCATTACAGAAATATGGGAACTGCCATTGCTGACTTGTTTTTGAAAGCGTAGGCTCTAGAGGCTGCTGTTATCCTTCTTTCATTACTTGGTGAATCACTGATGTGGAATAATCATGTGTATATCAGATGCCTGATATGCACATACTTGTTCCAGGTCAGTGACTTGGTAAGTAGTAAAGAAGCCCTAGAATTTGCACCTTCAAAAATAACCCAATGTACATTAAGAAAAGAAGTATGGGGATACTTCTATTTTGGCAGATAACCTATAAATGCACACTGTTTTGCCTTACCAATGTACCCAACATGTTCCAGCAAACCATTCAGTATTTATCTATAGGTCAACCCTTTTTTGTGTCCCCCATTATTGTTTTGCACCCTATCTGTCTTAATGGCTTCTGTGAGTTGAACATAAAGTAATGAGAAACCCAACATTTTGCCTTTGTTATTGGAACATGAGGTGGGGCAATCTTCCAGTAGGTACACCTGTTCTGGTGGCAACAGTCTAAGAGGGATTTTTCTTTCTCTTTTGAGATTTTCACTAGGACAGGATGTGTGGGGAAACCTGGCGGCACAAACCCACAGTTTTTGGTCGATTTTATTTTAAAGAACAAGTGTACTTTCTCCCAAATCCTGTTAAATCTACTCACAAGCATTCAACTTTAACTTCACAATCATATTTGATGAACATTTTCATTACAACCATTTTGCTAACACTGACCAGCTTCAGCTGCAGCCTCCATCAATCCTTGTCTCCGACAGCATGCTGTGGGAAGATGGAGCTTGTTCTAGTAGGATTTTTTTTCCTGGTGCACCTCTTTGCTCGCTGTCACATAATACAATGTCCGTTGTTCTTTTCCAAACCAGTCCTGAGATATCTGCATGTAATGTAGTGGTTGTTAGGGCTGAAAGCAGCTTCCCTCACTCTCCTTTGCAGATGAGTCTGAGTATCTGAGCTGCCAGGCAGGCTGCTGATACGGGGGTACAGGGAGTACTCCTGTATTGGGCCCATGACCCCATTGGGTCAGCAGCAGGAGTTGTGTGCACACCTCTGTCTACAACTCCATGTGAGAAGCAAGGCTGCCAGGACATTGGCACCACCCTGGCTAGTGGTACCAGCCAGTGGGTGGGACTTTGTGGGGCAGCGGGTGTGGCTCTCCTATTCTCCAGCAAAGTTCTTTTCAACCTCCGGGCGAACTCTGTTGGTAAATTGATCTTTCTATAAAGAATCTACATTAGTGACAGCTTTTGGTTGGGCATTTTTCTCTCATAGCAAATAGGCTCCAATGTTCCATACAGCAAATTAGAGTTCTGAATTTGTCCCATAAAAGTGTCAGTTAGCATGGGTGGAGGAATATCCACTGCTAGCTGCCTAAATACACACCGGTGACAGCATCTGATAGGATGCAGTCGCTGTTCAGCCGAAAATTTTCCACCCGGCTAAGTCGATCTTTAAATGGGCTTTTGTTTAGTGAGGTGCTGCTTACAGAGGCACCCTTGGATTTCTGCCAAACTTAAGCCACCTATGGCCAGGTGGCCATAGGTGGCTTAAGAGAAACTGCTGGTTTCTACATGTTACTGCACTCTCACTGCTCTTTGCCTTATGCATACAAGTGATATTTGTGTAAAATTCACAATGCGAGAATTTACAAAAGCTGAAAATCTTTACCAAGCCATTGACAAACAACATTCTAAATATATAGTGTAATCCTAGTTTTGATTGCCTCTATAATAGCCAAAATGCTTCAGATTGTTAAAAACAATGGATTACGAGGTAGTAATCATAGGAAATGTTAATTGTTTTTTTTTTTCTTACTGGTTCTATTAAAGTCACATGTAGCAGGTTTGTACCAGAGCCATATGTTAAAAGCAAAACATTTGTCAGCTATAAAATTGTCATTTGACCCTAGCATCAAAAGTGTAGAAAATATTTTTTCCACAATGGTTTTACCTAAACAAAAAATCTTGTTCAGCACGGTTGCTGTTTTGCTTCATGCCCCACCTCAATCAGGTTTTGCTCAAGAAAAGTCTTTTTCAACGTTTTGATTTCCCAGTTCATATTTCTTCAACAAGCATGACCCAAATATTCCTGCATCTGTTTATTGCGTCTCTTTATACTGCCCATCATAAGCAAGCTCTCCTGTTATCAGCCCAGGCTCAGAAAGTACAAACAAGTGAGAGAGAGAGAGTGATTAAAGAGGACAGCAGGAAGGGAGATGAGGAAGGAATAAAACGGAGAACATTGATGTTGAAATTACTTTACAGTTTTAATCATCAGTAATGAAAGAACTAAACCTAAGTTGTCCCATGATGCTCTTTTTCCAGGGCACATGGTATGAAGCCGTGGCAGGAGAGCTATAAAGCTATGATATCAGCATAGTCGTCATTGAAAGTAAATGAGCAGGGTGCTGATATTGACATCTACAAAGTAGAACTCCTGTAGGTTATGTCATCCAACATGCTAATTCAGGTTCCATGTCAGGAACTGGAACACCATCGGATCTGCTTTTCACATGTTTTTGCACAGTTTTACAGCCTGTCTCCCTAATGCCTGTTGGTAAAATTACAGTGGACCTAACTTTACAGTTTGGATTCACTTTAAAGCAGTGGTTCTCAACCCGTGTA